GCAGGGAGGTTTATTACCACATGTTGAGTGAGAAAGGTGATTAAAAAGGAAATACTGCATCATGGGAATCCCCCCATGGCGAGCATCCATATGTCTCTCAGAGTGCAAAATCCCCACATAACCACCAGGAATCATTATGTCAAGATTAGACTTTGCTCAGAATCAGAATATATTTATCCTCGTCACCCTCTCTGATACATCCCACTACAGCAGAATCATCATAAAACTAATGGAGGTGGCAGGTTTCTGAGACAGGACGGCCCCCTGCAGGGCATCTGTGTTGCTCACCATACTGTCCACCACACAAAACTGCAGGCACACATAGTGTGGTCTGACAGTCAGATAGTTGGCAATCCAGATGACTAAGGACGCATAACTACCTACATCGCTGTTTAAAAAAACAGTAGGGTTTGTCTGAAGGTGCTGAAGGAGAAGCATCTGGCTCTCATTTATCTCACCATGCTCACTAACCGGGTAAAATGGAGAGGACTATCAGTGGGCTAATCGTGGGCCATAGATAGTGAAGAATGAGTCTCTCCAGCATCTTCACGATGTGTGATGTTCACAATGAGCACCACGGGTCTCGTTGTGACATGGGCTATGACCTCTGGAGTCTCATCAGCTGGTTCCTGATTTGTTTAGTAGTGAAGGTCAGTGTTGCCAACTCCTCAGTAAGGAAAATCGCTATTGGTTGTCCTAAAAGTCGCTCGAAGTCGCTAAATGACGTCATCACCTAATTTACATAATTGGTCATGCTAATGTAATTGTAACCTACGCTGCTGGACAGAGAAATAACATCGTGGACGAGACATAAAGTGAGCAAAAAATGTCCTAAATGCATTTAGAGTTTATTTAGAACTACAAATTAAATTTCTTTTAGCAATTATTGTTTTTTTTAATGTCACAATTCCAACCCTGCTCCTTTACCCGGGCTTGGACCGGCAAAAGTGACCCGAAATAGGCACTCTGGTGGAGTTACTTTGTGTGTGTGTGTTTATAAGTAGTTTTAAACCTGATCCACAAAACAGCATAAGAGTAAAAGAAGAACTGACTGCGTTACAGCACCCGCTGCTTGTTGAGAGTAAAAGCGATATGCGCTTTCATGTCTTTTTTTAGCGACTTTTTTTTTTTTAAAAAGTCGCTAGGGGGTCTGAAAACTCGCTAAATATAGCGACAAAGTCGCTAAGTTGGCAACACTGGTGGAGGTGACTGGAGTGGAAGGAGTGGAGGTGCCCTGATGTTGAATGTGAAGAGTGTACAGACCCTGGGAGCCTCCTCACAGGAGGGTTTATACATCAACACAAGATTTTATTTTATTTATTTTTTAATTACTTGGATACAGACTTCTGAGTTGATGAAATTAATCATTTAGAGTGCCAAAACTTAAATTCCTAATGGTATGTAGGTATAAATTTAAATTTAAATAATAGCAGTTTTGCTTCTCCGGTCAACAAACCAGGAGAAATCATTCATTTTATCTAACTTGTATTAGTCACTGACATTATTTTTAAGGTAATGATATACAATAAACAGTTTGTTCCATTTAAATAGGGCTGCACCTTCATTTGGACTTTATTTAAAAAGGCACAACGCTCATGTATTTGTGCGATAAATGTGCACCAGTCAGAAAGAGATCTAGATGTGGGTATCATCAGCATTAATATGAAACAGGGTTTGTTTCTGAGCTAATAGATGCATGATGATATTTTACTTTAGTCTCTACTGAAAGAGGTTGATCATATCATTTCCTCTTAGAACTCAAGTTTCACCAACAGTTCACACACTTCCTCCACAGCTATAAACAAACTTATTCAGAACAAGAAAACCACCAGGCTGTCAGATTTCCCCTGTATGGGCTGCTGCTGCTGTATTTCCGTTTTTTGTTGTGTTCTCTCTTCTGCTTCTTTTTTGTGGAGGGGGGGGGAAGAAACTGAAATCATGCTTCCTTTCTGTATACCAGACAGAGATAAGTTCACTGGGTTCAGAGCTTCATGTTGACATAAATGGTTTAACTGGGTCTTACCGACTTTAGTGAAACGAGACCATCTATGTCTTCAGCGCTGGTCAAAGGGCGCTCTTGTGATATAAAGCAGGTCAGGCATTATTAATTCAGTCAGAAAGGTTTCCATACCCACAAACATTACACAAACTGACCACAACTTTGACAACATTCTCCTCCTGTTTCTCAAAAGAAAAATAACATGAAAACAATTAAATAAATTCAATGTGAATTTATGTTTCACGCTAAACTGAAATCTTGATGCTGAGAAGGGTGTTCAATGCAAATAAGTGGAAGTAAATAATGCTAACCAGTTTCATTTTTCTCATTCGGTTTGGCATTGGGGTAAAGCCATCAGGCTACTGTCCTGATTCTTATCACATCAAACCATATTTGGACACATCTGTGGTCTTTGTGGTCTGGTCTGCTCACAGTAAAGATCAGATGTAGTTAATCCAGCAGTTTTCATGAGGTCATTTCTCCCGTACACGTGGAAGCGCACCTCAAACTTAAGATACAGTCCTGGACCTGTCACGGTTAATGCTGCCCAACCATGGGGATGTGGGGAAAGGAGGACCCAAATGCTGGACTCTTTGATGCAACAGTGCGTTTATTTACAGTGCAGGGAAAACAATAAATCCGCAGTGCGTTCCCGACTCCCGTGACATGTCCTCTGAGCACCCCGTGCTCGCTGCCCTCTCGTCTCCACACTCTCTTAGGGAATAACAAAGAGGCAGCCGTCAGAAACACCACAATGCAGCAGACTAACTTGACAAGAGCGTAACGTGAAATCACACAATGATCCAGCGTTGGAGAGAGCTCCACCACACTCTTAAGTAGTTTCTCCGACGAGGCTTAATCAGCTGCAGGTGTGATGGTCGTCAGGTGTGGCCAACCACCTGGCAGGGCCACACCCACCAGGCCTGAAGGTGCCTGTCACAGCCGCACCCACACAAACACAAAAACAGCAGTGCAGAGCAGCAAAAACACATATAATATAATACAAGTCCATAACTGCTCAGGGACCCTGGGTCGCTCAGATCCAGGACCCTGACAGGACCACCGCTTTTTTTACAGTTCAAGCAGCTGCCACAGGCTGCAGGGGCATTGGAGGACAAAATGTTAACAAAGATAGAAACAGTATGGCTGTTTACATGGCTGCACACTGCTCGGGCCACACGTAGTGTCCTCTGAAAGTCTTACAAAGAACATCCATGTCATATATTCTTACTGCTGCCACAGAGTACGCTTCAATCATATTAGAGGCTCAAATCACCCACTCATGACTCTTTGATAGCCTCACACTGCTTTTATTTCTGAGCACAGACCCATCAATTTATATCACAGATTTAGTGTCTTTATAATGGTAAGGTTGCCATGGAAATAATTAAAATAATCCTAACGCTAATGCTAACCTGAACACCATCTACATGGCTTGATGTGAGAGGTTAGCTAACTGCAGCGTTTCATCCCCTCTTTGTGTTATTTTTGTTTGATTTCCAAAAATCGTGACATTTGACCAAAAACGAAAAGAAAGACAAAAGGAAATTCTCCCCTCTCACAAGCTGTTCTTAGCGCTTTCAACCGCAACTGATTGTCTTCCTCTCAGCAAAGAGTTTCACTTCTGCCTCTTCTCGTGACAGCTTTTTATTTCACTGAGGATCCAGCGTTCCATTGTGTTGTCATGTCGGTTTCTTTGAATCCAATATATGGGAATATTCTACACGTGACAAATATTCAGTGTGATCTCAAGACTCATTTTTCTTTCTGTGGTAGCACAGCTTGTTTCGTTAGCACGGGTAATCTAAACTGTCCCAAGCACCTCGCCCCGAGTAGACTAACAAGTTAATTAGGAGGTACTGATGTGTGAACCACGCAAACATTGTTCAGTGCTTCGGCTAAATTTGTTTCCGGTGATCCTGTGTAAATATCTAATGTAATGTATGTTTGTGTGTGTTGATGTGAATTAACTGTAGAGCCTGTAAAGCAGTGCAGATGTGCTGTTCGTACATATGAAAATATGCACACAGAGTGTAAATACTGGTTATGTAAATAATTACAATTGATTATTTGGCATATTTAACATGTCTTTCATGTGGTACAGTATTCAAACTATATTTCTATATGCTGTTACATTTAATATGGCAGATTATTTCATTTGCAAGAATGAAAATAAAACAAACTGTTTTTCTCAAAATGTTTTCTTCATTGTACTTATCCTTGTCAGGGTCGCGGGGAGGGGCGGCAAGAGGCAGGGTACACCCTGGACAGGTCATCAGTCTGTCGCAGTGCTAACACACAGAGATAGACAACCTACATTCACACCTATGGGCAATTTAGAATGATCAATTAAGCTATCTTTGAGGAGTACAAATACCTGGGAGCCATCTTTGACAACCTCCTGAAATTCTCTGCCAACACAGAGGTGGTGGTCCTAAGGAGGTGCCACCAACGGCTACTCCTCCTTAGGAAACTCAACTCCTTTGGAGTCAGCACAGCCATCATGATGGCTTTTTACGATGCCTTCTTGGAAAGCATCATGACCTTCTCCATCAGCTGCTGGTTCGACTCCCTCAGCCTTCAGAACAGGAACAGACTGCAGCACACGGCATCAGTGTGCTCTAAAATCATCGGCCTGTCAGAGCTCTGGCTCAGGTTTTCAGCCCACAGGCCTTAGACAGGCAGCCACAATCATCAGCGACCCCTCTCACATTCTTCACCCCGCATTTCAATGGCTCCCCTCTGGGCGACGCCTCGGCTGCATTTCCTGCAGGACTGAGAGAGGAGAGCCACCTTTGTCCCCAAAGCCACCCTGCTTTCCCACACCAGAAACATCAACTACTCTACATTCTGTTTATACTACTGACACTTTATTCACTTTTAGTCACTTACAGTTATTTATTCACCTTTCAGGTGAAACTGTGTATATTCTGTGTAATTATTATCTGACTCTTATTGACTGTTCTGATTGTCCTTATCTTCAACGTTATGCTGCTCTGTCATATGTTAATTGGCCCTTGGGGATAAATAAAGTCTTTCTGATTCTGTCCCCACTAACTGCAAGTCTTTTAGTGATGGGATTTCCAGCTCTTTTTAGAGAACCGGCTCTTTCGGCTCCCAACCGGCTCTTCAGGTTGTTTTCTTGCTTTAATTTATTTATTATTAACAACAATATAAAATTTTGCACAAAAGGAATTACTAATGTAAAAAAAAGTGGTTTTATTTATATATGTTTATATATAAATATATACGGTGGCCCCTAGAAACAAAGCACGTGCAAACTCCAAAACACATTTCCAGCGTTAACTGAACTTCAAAAAAGAGCTACCTAGATCAGCGGTCCCCAACCCCCGGGCCTTGGACCGGTCCGTGAGTCGTTTGGTACCGGGCCGCGAGAGTTGAAGCTCAGGTGTGAAATGTATGGTTTTCAGGG